CTATTCACACCCAGTTGATTCTCCTGGCATCACTGCAGCTGGGTGAACCCACTCACTAAAATAAACGGTATATGAGCAGAATTGCTTGCTGCTGTCAGTGGTGCTCTAATGTGCTGTGTGATTGCTTAATTCCCAGACCCATAATAGAACTGCTGCCCCTCATTAAGCCAAATTTCTCTGCAGAAAAAGAAGCCAATGGTTTTCCCTAATGTGGACAGACTTCTCCAATAATAGCTATTATATAATGGGCCAATGCTTGGTGAATCCATTCACATGCAAGGCAGAAGATCAATTTAGCAGTTGCAGTAATGACCTTGATGATACAGTAAAGGAAGAAGGAAGATATAGGAAGGGCAGACTGTTCATGGTTACCAGGATCTGCAGGTGAACCCAGTCCCACTTTTCTAAAGCTAATAAACAATTTGCTGTATTTTAGTACACACCTCAAAGAAGAAGAATAAAGGCAAGTAATCAAAAACAACTCACAGGTTATCTGTCACATCTGTAGTTTAAATATGCCTTATTGCAATACATGTGAAATGATGTCATATGGTTTTAAATCTTTGAAACAAACAATGTAACAACTATAGGCTATGCAAAATCAAGGTCTTTGTAATGTGGTAGCAACATCCTACATCTTATGAGATATATTTCCAGGGCTTTTAAGAAGATTCTGGTTTGCTCCTTCCTTAAGAAACCATCCTGAATCTTATTTGCCAAATGAATTTTCATTCATTTTCCAAACTCCTCTTTTTAGAGAAGATGATGGAAAAAGTGGTGGTCTGGCAACTTCAAAAGGTCCTGGATGAAATGGATTATCTAGATCCCTCCCACTCAGGATTCAGGCCTAGTTATGGGGTGGAAATGGCATTGGCTTGATGATCTTTGGCAAAAACGGGATGGGGATAGAGCAACCATTCTCACACCACTTGACTTCTTAGCAGCCTTTGATACCATCAATCATGGTATCATTCTGGGTTGGGCGGTGCAGTTTTGCGCTGGTTCAGCATCTTTCTCCAAGGTTGGGGTTAATTGGGATTGAGAGATCCAGCCCTCGGCCATTTTTTTGTGGCATGCTGCAGGGCTTGGTACTCTCTCCACTCCTTTTAAACATCTACATGAAGCCGCTGGGTGAGTTCCTCCATCACTATGGGCTCAGGTATTTGCATTATGCTGACGATACCCAACTCTATATTTCCAATCCTGATGACCCAAGTAATGTAGTTGCTGCCCTCTGGTGGTGCCTGGAGGCTGTGGGGTCCTGGATGGGGGACAACAGGCTTCAACTGAACCCTGGCAAGACTGAATGGCTCTGGGTACAAGGGGCACTGAGATCCGGGACTTTATCATCTTTCATTCCAGATAGGGTTGCACTAACCCAGATGAATCTGGTCCACAACTTGGGGTGGATTCACAGCTCCTGCTCAAAGAGCAGTCACAGCTAGGACAGCCTTTGCGCAACTTCAGGTTGTGTGCCAGTTGCAGCTTTTCTTGGATCAATAGTTGCTGTATTCAGTTATTCAGACTCTAATCATCTCATGATTGACCATTACAACACAGTCTACATGAGGCTACTCTTAAAGAGCATTTGTAAGCTACAGCTGGTGCAGAGTGCGGCAGTGCTCCAGTTCTTGGAGTCCCAAGAATGGCCCATGTAACAATAGTGCTCCACAAACGGCATTGCCTGCCAGCTTGCTTCCGGATACAATTCAAGGTGTTGGTAACTACCTTTATGTTATTCTTAGCTGCCCAGAGTTACCTTGAGATAAGATGGATGGCCTATAAATTTTATAAGTAAATAGACACAATGGATAGAAGCAAATATTAAAAATGCTCTGTGGAGAAACAAGCACAGTATATACAATTCTGTGTCTAGATTAGGAGTAAAAACAAACAGTGTTCTAATATTTCTAAAATTCTCATCTGATGTATTCTCTGAGTTTTATAGTATTAAACGAGCTCTTTTCCAAAGAACCAGTTTTTTTATTGGGAAACCACTCTTACAATAAATCCTCATTGGCACTACATATAATGATAATTGAAAAGAAAGTATTTTTTGTACATACAACAATACCTAGAGACAGGAGAATCAAGGAAATAGAATTGGAAAAAAAATTACAAAATATTGATATCAAATGATCAAAATCAGTTTATGGAAAAGATTTTGCAAGATTATTTGTGCATTAGGCAAAATAACAAAATATATTGAACCATATTTGTGAAGACTAGATCAACTGGATTTATATATCTATTGGATTTGGGGGGGGGGACCTTATAATGGATCTCAACTGAATAGTCAAAGATGTTATTCTGTTCATTTCTTTGCACTGTGTTATTCCTTGTTGAATAAAAATACCACCATCATCCTATACATATTTAATACACAATGGTTTTGTTGGTTTTTAACGCCTTTTTCTTCCACTACTTTGCTGATACAGGAATGTTTGAAAAGAATGCTGCAATAAGCCAGGAGATATAACTGTTTACGTCTTTGTCTTTGCTAGATGTAGAGTTCTTGGATTTAGGTGAAATCTAGGATTTTCATGTGAAGACTCTGGCCATGAGAGCTTTCTGTCAAACTCAGCTATGATGACAACTGTATTTCTTCTTTGAAAAGAAACAGCTGGCTATTGTTGCACATACCCTATCATTATGTTCATTCTCTTTCTATAGCCTTTCTATAATAAAACATTAGCTTCTATTATTAGTTGCCCATTTATTTCCAAGCTAATTTCACGATGTATTAAATTAGTACGGAGAACCTGTTGCCAGCTATATGCTCCGAATCACCGAGGTCCAGCAATAAATCCTTCCTTGATGCCACCTCCTTTGAAAGTCAAAATAGTTTTCAATCACTAATGATTTTTTGCAACTGCCTTCTTTCTCGACTCAGCAGGACTGAGGTGAACATGATTGTGTTCCCTCCATTCTTTTTCTTTTTTCTTCTGCAAAGCTTCGGAAAATGATGATTTTTAATTGCTAGCTGTGTTGAGGGCCTTATAGGCAGAATAGCATGATATAAATCAAAGATGGCATATTAATTAGCAAATCTAACTTATCTATGTCGGTTGTTACAGCAATTGCACCATAGTTCCAACATGTTTCTTAGTTCTTAAAACCAAGAACAAAATTTATGAGGTATATTGAAAATTATAATTTGAAAATATACCATCATTGTAATAAAGTTGTTAAATATATTTACAGTAATAAACTAGAGGATTCTAGTTTACATGTGCATTATAAACCCAGCTCTTATTAAATATGGTTCACGTTTCTAAATCCCTGATTTAAGATACCAAAACAACAAAGCAGCACCTAAATTAAATTTATATTGTGGATTTTAAAATGGCAATATATCATTATGTTACTAGAAGTTACAGTACTTCTGGTAGAGGTATTAACAGTTACCCTCTCTAAAAATTATTCAGCTATTTAATGAATAGATTGCAAAGAATGGCCTAGTTTAGACAGCATATGAAATCACCATCTTGTGTGATGAATGAATCGCTGCAGATAATAGACTTGAATGCACTTTCTAGTCCTTCACTCTTTTCTTTATATCAGAAGAGTTTGGAACCTATTTTAATTAAACTTAATTCAATGTGATCTTCACGTGCTATAAACTGTGGTTTAATTAAACAATAGATGGATCGCAGTTGGCCAGCCTGTAGCACTTGAATGGTGTGAATGTGACTTGTTTGGATGCTCAAGAAGAACTATGCTTGGGATATGGAGAAAGGCATACGGGAACCTGGAATATTTCCTTAAAAAAAAAAACCCTAAACAATTTGCAAGCTTTTAACATGATAGAAGAGGATTTCACCATAGTGTATGTACTGCACCTGTGAATATTAATAGATAAGAGAGGGAAAGTTCACTTTTTATATTATGGTCCAAAATTCAGGAAATATATTCCTGAAATTTATTTCAGGAAATATATTAGTTCTACCTTACTTTTATGAAGTTGTCAGTTGTCTTCAATCCCATATTATCCAATTAATACTATATTCTGCCCTAAGCTAAACTAGCTGACCACTTCCACAAGCTTTAATTTAAATGATCTTCTTTAAGGATTTGTTCTTGGCTACAAAATTTAATTTCATGGAGTTACTGTATATTATTAAAGTAGCACACAACATCCAAATTGGTTTTTCTTTTACAAGAATGTTAAAGATTTTTTTTCCCCTGAGACTTTAAATTCCTAAGTACATAACTCTTTCTTGTTTACTTTTCTACCTGGTTGGGGATATAAAAGGGTGGGGATGAGCTTACTTCTCTTACTATTTTAACCATTCTTTCATTCCCTGGGACATTCTTTGACTAAGATGGCAGTGATGGTTTGGGCTATTACTTGTACAGATAGTCCTCAACTTACTATTTGGGGCTATTATATTCATAACCAGCTATCCAAAACAGTTCAAAGCTGGTAGATGCAGATTAGTGTGAAGATTTTGTAGAAATGTAGATGGAGATAAAAACAAACATTTCATATTTTTTCTCCTTTTATTAATCTAAAACCAAACTCAAGATAATCACAAATAGCAATAGGTATGGTATGGTAGTCAACTTTCTTTTTAAAGAAAGTTGATCTCTTTTTAGGCAAACACAAACAAGAATCAGTGAAATGTCCAAACTATTTGGAGAGCTTCTAGTTTTTTAAAAATAATTTTACATGGTACCATTCCTTATGGAGTGGCCTAGCTTTAAAATATCTGTGATGTGTTTATTAATGCATATACTTTTAGACAGTATGCAAATATTAAATTGTAGTAAATTGTAATAATTATATTGTAATAATTTGACTTTTGTAGTAAAAAAAATTGTCAACTCCCATTTTGTAAGATTAGGGATAAATTGCCAGTATTTATTTGCTCAAAATATTCATTCAGACATAGAAAACATATGTTAACACAAGAAGTCTTGCATACACACATAAATACATTTAACAGCACATTATACCACATATACACAACATAATTCCAATCTAACTGTAACTTTACCTGCAAATGCATGCCCTGTCAGAGAATCCAAACCTGAAATTAAAAAAAAAAAATGAAAAACAAAATAAAATCTTTAGCATTACTTTGAATCAAACCTCCACCTCCATTGTAACAAAAAATTATCTGTATCACTGGATAATTATCTAGATGTCCCCCCCCCAAAAAAATGAAGCATTATTTTTCCAAAACAATGCAATTAGATTTTCGTTAAATATTTTCTAGAATGTAACTTCCATAGTGCTTTAAAGGCACTTGATAATCCTTGATTATTTTTTGTCTTTCTAAAATTATTTGAAATAGTTCACAATATTGCCAAGTTACTGATAGAGAAGTGAATCTGATGATTATTTGTACAAGCTTACATGGTAGCTGAGTTTGAACCCTACTTTTTCCAAGAACAGACTCAACATAACAAAATTACATAAAGATGCTCCTTTGCAAATTTGTTTTTACTGTGTATAAGTGTGTAATATCTATGTGTAGAACGAAACTACATCTACTTTGGGGATGAAGAAATTATGGCTCTCGAAATGTTGATGAACTACAATCCACAAGCTACAGTCAAATTACCAATTATGAATGTTTTATTTCAGATGCTGTGAAGATTTTCCCTGTATGTTTTGCATTTTAGAGTAACACAAGGATCTAATACCCAGACAGGGAGGTCATGGCAGTACTGATTTAATGTGGTCATAACTTTACCAAATGTTTCTAGCAGAGTAGAATAGTTCATTTCTTTATCTGGCATAAATTCTCTCATGCCAAGTGGGTTCTGCTATTTTTTTTTAATTTGGATTATTTATTATTATTTGGCTTATTATACAATTTACACAGTAATTCTAATTTTTTATTTATTCCGATAGAGATATTGAATCTCATTCTTGAAGGTACACAAGAATAAAATCAAATTAAATGATGGAGGAAGGAGACCATTGAGCAAGGAATAACATTAAAGGAGGATATGACTGAAGGATCTGACCTCTCTTATACTACTTGGAGGACCTTGAATAGTTGAGAATTGGAGTGCCTATATGTAAAACCAATATGCTCAAGTGAAAGTGAATAACAACAAGCTACGTGAATGTGAAGAGACACAGACTCTGGTCCATCTGCTGATATGTTGGCTACTATTAGGAACATGTACCATAATGACTTATTTTTGGCCAACAAAAAAGCCAAGAAGGTGGCTTCATTCTGGTAGTTTAAAGTTTGACTTAGACATGGAATAAGAGTGAATCTCATGTTCTTCCCATTCAGTAAGCCCATAAAAAGATAAGCATTAATGAGGTTCACAGGGGTGGGACGTTTAACTTTTCTGACCAAAGCTGACAACCATGACTGGATATTCTATGCATTTCTTTAATAAGCTTGAGCAGTAAAGAAGAAAGATCAGCTAAACTACTGATTGAAGTACTCTGAAGTCAATTATGGGAGATAAGCAACTGCACAAAGGTTGTCTCCTGCACTACGGACAGGCAGGTTTGATTTAAATATTTACAAAATGGGGCAGGTATAAGTATATAATCTAAACTGAGGTCCAAAGTCCAACCCCTGCAGATACCTGATGTCAGCCCTTCAAGGTAGTCTAGATAAGAAGCAGGAACCATGAACTCTATCTGTATTGTAAAATTCACGTGTAATGATTGGATGTCATGCCACAGTCTGATAACTGCATTTTTGAAAGAGATCAAAATGATCTCTGCATTTTTGACACAGTGAGCATTTCCCCCACTTGTAACCATCAGACATCTGGTGATAGGAAAAAAAAACAGTTAGTTTCCATTCGGTGCCAGGAAGGTTCCTGATCTTATTATGGATAGTGCTGTTTACTAGATGATCCAGCACCATAACGTCCATCACAACAATTTTAAGGAAATCCCAATGCAGAGAAAAGATGAAGACAATCCTTTTGTGCCATTGTGGAATAATTTTAAAATATGCACAGCTCATCACTGATAATGCCATTTAGAATAATAAGCTATACAAACATAGCTATTTTTGCAGTACATCTTTTAATCTTTTTTTTTTTACTTCTGTACTAAAGAGATATTTTTTCTTCTTCGCTTTTCTTTTTGAAATGACAGATGCTTCAAACTGCTAACAACCATCTTTATTTCTTAGTTTGCACATGTGGAAATTTAAATTTAAACATGTAGATGTTTAAAAATACTAACAGACATATTAGACGTATATGATTAGAATAATTTAAAACAATCAAGCAGTTATGTAACCCTTTCTGACATAACAACAAAGCATCTGAATTGAACTGTCCTCCTGCCTATGTGTCCCCAATTATACAACTTAATTAATGGGATATGAGTAATAGTTCAAAATATTTCTAGTTTCAAAATTCATGGTAGATTATTACTGCAAACATCAGGAATTTTAATCATTTTAATGACACAACAACAACCACTATTGCACCCTGAAGTAATGGAATATTTAATATGATATAAATTTTGAATCTTCTACAAGTTAATTGAAAATATGTATAGTATAAATACCTACCACTGTATATTGAATTAGGATGTTCATGACCAAACAGAATGTATTTAAATTGATACTATAAACACAGAAGATTAATGAGCCTTAACTATGCAACAATAATATTCTCAATATTATAAAAGTCAAAAATCACACAATATTGCTTTCTTTAAAAAAAATCTACATTTGCAAGTTGTATATAGAAAACCATCCTACCATGAACATCCTCTATAGAGAATCAGCCACTAGATAAATTGCATGAGAGAAATTGTAGAGCACATACATCACACACACACAGAGAGAAATATAAATTGTGATGTGATTTTATTTTGGATGTTATCTGAATTTAAAAAGAAGACTGGGAAGGAACCAGAAAACTTGTCCCTGGTTTAGGTGTATTCATTGTGGGTTTTCTAAGGAAAACCCACAAACCTTCTGCACAAACCTATGTATATATGGACTTAATAACTTATTTATGTTGCTTGGAAAAGGCCAGTTCATATTGTGTCCCATACATATTTATTAATTAAAGCTAGGAACATTTCAAAGGGCCTTTTGTCTACTCGAGTTGTAGTAGAAATATTTATACTTCTTCACTTTTAGTCATTAAAAAAATATTAGACATTGGAAAAATTCACTCTTTACTATTTTCTAGATGCTAGTAAATGAACCAAAGAAGGCAGGGTGAAGAGGCATTTTTCATTCCCAAAAACTTTAATTAACACAAAAAAAATGGAATGTGTTTGCAAAATGCTGAGGAATAGTGTGCTACATATTCCGTTTTATTTTTATTCTACCACATCAGTGCTTCTAGAAACAGTAATATCAGAGAAGTGGAGAATCAACAGAATAGTTTGCAGCACTCAGGATGTCAGAATACTGTCAATTTGGTCAAATGTTAAATTATGCCTTGAGAGACCAATTTGTTGCTTGTTTGTACAATAATCAGATGTGGGTAAAATTACTAGCTTCTCAGTGCTAACAATCACAAAGGCAGCTGTCAACTTGTACCTGGGAACTGCAAGGAAATATATTTTGTATTATTGTATTTTTAGTTTTCATTTGCGAACTGTTCTCAGAAAAGCTTTTTTGAAGGTCAAAGTATAAATGTTCTAAACAGCAAATAAATAGGAGTTCTTTAGCAAGCAAAATGGCAAATCCTGAAAAAGTCAGTCATATACATAAATGGTGTTTTGTACTGTTCATATTGAGAAGTACTGAATAGTTCACCAATTTATTTGCAAACTCAGAAGGAGTAAAGAAAAACCAAATGTATAGGTATAGTATAGGGGGTACCTTGCTCAATAGTAGTAAGTGTGAGAGGGATCTCAGAGTCCTAGTGGACAATCATTTAAATATGAGCCAGCAGTGTGCTGCAGCTGCCAAAAAAGCCAACATAGTGCTAGGCTGCATTAATAGAGGGATAGAATCAAGATCACATGAAGTATTAATACCACTTTACAATGCCTTGGTAAGGCCACACTTGGAATACTGCATCCAGTTTTGGTCACCATGATGTAAAAAAGATGTTGAGACTCTAGAAAGAGTACAGAGAAGAACAACAAAGACGATTAGGGGACTGGAGGCTAAAATATATAAGGAACGGTTGCTGGAATTGAGTATGTCTAGTTTAACGAAGAGAAGGACGAGGGGGGACATGATAGTAGTGTTCCAATATCTCAGGGGCTGCCACAAAAAAGAGGGAGTCAAGCTATTCTCCAAAGCACCTGAAGACAGGACAAGAAGCAATGGGTGGAAACTAACCAAAGAGAGAAGCAACCTAGAACTAAGGAGAAATTTCCTGACAGAACAATTAACCAGTGGAACAACCTGCCTCAGAAGTGGTGAATGCCCCAACACTGGAAGTTTTTAAGAAGAGACTGGACAGCCATTTGTCCGAAATGGTATAGGGTTTCCTGCCTGAGCAGGGGATTGGACTAGATGACCTCCAAGGTCCCTTCCAACTTTATCATCATCATCATCATCATCATCATCATCATCATTATTATTATTATTATTATTATTATATCATGCAACAGTCATCTGACACACTTCTTACTTACCCGCAATTTATTTATTATTTATTAAATATATATGCCAACCATCTCACTGAGGTGACTGTGGGGGCCTACGATAGCTTCATGCTGAAAAGCGTATTTGGTTGTGTGCAGTTCAGAGCAAAAAGTCTTCGAGATAGTATCTTACAAACGCTATCTAGAGTTAGGTAGGACTTTGAGGTTGATTGATGAGGCTTTTACTAAGTGAAGCTTAACAGCATGGCTGTTGTCTCCATTCTTAAGAGATATGCTATCTTTAAATTTCACCATTCTGAAATTTATAGCCTACAATTTACAGATACGAAAATATGGTGTCTGTATAGAAAGAAAGTTGTCTTATTCTTTTTTTTTAATATTTTTTTTTATTTTCCATTTATCCAACATAGTTATACAACAAAATTCACTTTACAAAATAAAATAAATTCATAATCATAACCATAACCATAGGTGCCGCTTGCTCGTTCCCCCCAAGCTGTATCCACCCTCCCTAAT